AAAAAAAAAAAAAGATTATTGGGAGTATTAAATGAAACACTATGCAGAATTTCTGTTATATATAGCACCTGAAACAAAGTAGCTATTCAACACAAGTTAACTCCCTTCCTCACTTCCCAAGATACGGTAACAGCCTGCTACAGGGAGACCAGGCTGTGTGAGCATTAATAATCAGTACACATGTCTTATGAGGCAGCCAGATGTCCTCTTCTTTCATAAATGACACATATATCACAAGGTATGTTGGTCTTAGCGGGTTTTAACAGATTCTCTTAGCAAAGTTTGGGATCTCTTACTCCCCCCACCCATTTCTCTCTCCCTGTGCTCCCTGCCTCTCTCTCACTTACATGCACACATCCCCACACCCCACAGATGTGCATGAACACCCACTCCCCTTAATCCCAGGCAACATTCTCCATAACGAAGGCAAGAGAGATCAACAGGATCAAAACACAGCTGTTCTTCAGCAGAACTGGATGAACTCAGTTTCTACAAACAGAGCAGAACACTCCTATAGATGTTACAGAAAGTATGTAACAAACACAATTTTAGAGTGTTTTGATTATTGCTACTTTCCAAAGCCACCATTGCTGTCACAAGTGGGGAACAAGAATGGGTATGGCTTGGCCGGAAGCAGAAATCACAACTCTTATCTGGGCCTCATTAGGGGAAGCCAGTAGAGCATCCCAGACAGGGGAGGAGAAAGACATCTTTGTTGAGCTCTGGAAATCACATTCTGGGAGAAATGCAACAAATTGGAGTTGGGCCAGAGGCCAGAACTAGAGGCGACTGTGGTGGGAAAAGGTGGGAAATGCTGGTCTTTCCAGATAGTTGAAAGAACTCATCACATTTAATTTGAAAAGAGAAAATGGTGGTGCCCAGAACAGGAGACCAGCGTCAGAAGTCCTACAGGGTAAGAGGTCAGCGCTCCATCCCGAAAGGGTGCACAAGGGGCTTTTCGATAAAAGTGTGACCAGAGGACTGGGAGTCTCAAACACAGTCATGGTGTCTGGGGGAGGAAGACAGGAGAAGCAGGCAAACCTGGGGAGTCACAGGATGGACTCACAGCCAAGCTGGCAATGGAGAAACCAGTGAGAATCCACTTAAGAAAGACTGCTCCTGCAAGGGGGTGTTCAGCATAAAGCCTAGAAAAGACAAGGAAGCAGAAAGGGTGAACCAGTGCATTCCTAGAAAGGGGAATCATCCAGCTCGGCCCACGTGCCTGGGTTTCACTCTTGCCAACTTTCTCACAATTCAGCTTCTCCTGTAGACTTCCCGTAGATGCAGAATGCAGCCTGGTACTAGCCCAGGTGGTTTGACAACTGTGACCTCACTCTGCACCTTCAAAATTCCAGGAAAGACATATTACCCTAACTTTTGTGAATAAAGACATTGAAGACTGGCTTGTAAGTGGCAGAACAGTGATTCACCTGGTATCCATCACCATCAGGAGAGCCCACAGTCAGTCACAGGAAATGTGCAAGAACGTGACAACTGTCCAGCAGTGAACCCTGTGAAGAAGTCACGCAGGGTGAGCCCTGAGGAAGCCCAGAACCAACATGGTAGTGACCTGGAGACTTTTCCGTAAGAAAGTACCAGAAGCCAGGATGCACTAGACTAGTCAGGAAGAAGATACAGATGCAGAGACAGCAAGCACAGAGTGTTTGTTCAAGAAATCAGGCTGCAAAGTGAGGGCCAAGATTATAAAGGGACGTCTGACAGCTCCAACAGGATCTTCAGTCACCTGCTACTCCTGAGGAGCCTGTTTATTCTGCAGGGAGCCATGGACCCCGGGGCCACTCAGCCACGACAGCATTCAGAGAGACATGCGCTGCACAGCATGGCAGAGTTTGAGATGGACTGTTCTACTCATTTCTCCTGGGATGGCCATTCTGGATTCAGACATACTCCTTACAGTCTACTTTGTTACTTTCAGAATGTACTATTCAGTGGGAAAGCCAGTGGGAAAAATACAATTCAGTCTCAGTGTTTTAAAAGGAACTTTTCTGGAACATATCTATTTAGTTAACTGACAACTTAATAACAAGCTCTCAGAAAGATGGCCTATGTTTATATGTGTAATGATAAAATAAATTTGTCTGTGTTTTAGCAATTAAACTTTTCTCCTTTAAGAGAATGATGTTTATTTCTCTTGGTGCTCAAAATGTTTTAATATGAACATACCTTGTACTGAGAAATTTTATATTTAAGATCTCAGGTTTTAATTATAGGATCCCTCTCAGAAAATTTAAATACAAGAAAATCTTCAGTCTGGAATTAAAATCTGTGTAATGTCTCAAAAATACTAGAAGCTGCGATCACAGTCAGAAAAAATGTTCTCTTCAGTAGAACTTACAGCTAGGTTGGGAAAAGAGTGCACAGTTTATAGCACATGTAACAGTTTTAAATGCTACATGACAGGCAGTTTTCAAATCAATGTTCTTATTATGTTTATGTGGGGTTTTTTTGTTTTTTGTTTTGAGTTGGAGTCTCACTCTGTCGCCCAGGCTGGAGTGGTGTGGCATGCTCACAGTCACCCCTGCATCAACCTGCCACACTCTGGCAGTCCTTCTACCTCAGCCTTCCAAGTAGCTGGAACTACAGGCACATGCCACCACACCCGGCTAATTTTTTTATTTATTGTAGAGATGCAGTCTTGCCAAGTTGCTCAGGTTGGTCTCGAACCCACGGGCTCAGGCAATTCATTCTCCCTGGCCTCCCAAAGTGCTGGGATTACAGGCTGAGACACTGAGCCCTGCCTCTTATTATGTTTAAAAGCTCCAGCTCTTTTCCTGGGTGTGTATGGTTATGTATCTGTTTGTATATGAAAATGAGACACATAAGAAATTCTGGCTAGTGATATGAAGCAAAAATAGGTAGCCACACTGTTATCTTTTCTAAATTGTGGTTGGCTCATGAATAGAGTGTGCTTTCAGTCAATCTTTTTGGTCCTTCCTACAACAAAAGCTTGCTAACAATCATCTAATTCTTTCCTTCTTTCTTTATTCTCCCCACTTCCACCCCATGTCTGGAGTTTGGGGATAAAGGAAACCATTCTGTTTAAATTTTTTTTGTTGTTTTGACAGAAAACTCAAACATTTAAATGTGAAATCCTTATGGGGTTACTTGTCCTTTTTAAAAGTTTCTGACTCTGATTATTTTTAAAAGATATGGCCCTTTAGCAAAGAAGTTTGTTGATCTTTCAAGAGTCCTGCACTGACAAATAAGAACTGGTATCTGCACTGTGACAGCATGATAAGGCAGTGTCACTAAGCATGACATGAGTTAGCCTTCTCACCAAGAACCTCATGTGTTGAGACTTTTCTTGATTCACAATATGAATCAGTTCTTCAACATCCTTATGAAGAAGGAACTCATAAGGTACATGGCAGTGACATATACCCAGGGCTGTGGGAAGCAAGGGGGGAGGGGAATTAATAGTCAAGTGCCAGAGAGTCTCAAAGCAGTGACTTTGAGACCACTCTAAGGGTGAGGGGCCAGGCCAGGGCATGTCTGTCTGCTCAACTGTACAACAGTTTATCCATTAATTCAAAACTGACAGAAGTGCCGTCCCCCACCGTAGTGGGGAGTGGTGGAGGACAGGCAAGGGGAGTAGGGAGGAAGAGCAGTCCGGAAAGTGCCCCTGGGGGGAAGAAAACCCAGAGAAGCACTCCCCTCCTGTCCTGAGTGTCCTAGATAGACTTGGAAGCTGAAGAAAATCTTCCCCGTAAGCAAGGACTCTAAGTGGCTGCAGCGGAGCCCACGGGCAGTGTGCACACTCCTTCCCTGTTCTCTTGCCAGCTTGCAAGCTCCTTCAGCACCCTCACCTGGCCCCACACTGGCCACTGGCCCATTCAGGGACTGCAGCCAAGCCCTGGGGAATGAATGCCCTGGGCAATGGCTTACCCATGCTCATCTTGATTGGCAGGCTCTCCCGGCTGGCTGCCTCCACTAGATGTCTCCGGACTTCCATCACTGATTCCTTGTGCTTGGTGTCCAGCAGGGATTCCCACAGGGCTCTGGCTGCCATGTCGCTGCAGAAAACCACAGAAGAGCTTCAGAAGAAAGGTCTGCTGAATTATAGAAAGGGTTGACAGTGATATCATTTCTGAACATCTTTCCTGCGCACTAGCATTCCCACTGACAAGCTCTAAAGAATTTCTCAACATTGAATAAATGATGTCTGCTTCATCTAACAGCAAAAGATATGGACAAGTTAAGGAGACAATACAATCAAGCAAAAGGAGAGAAAAGTCAAATTGTGCCATAAAAAGTGTGGGGAAACTATGTAATAAAATGTGGTAAATGCTGCACTTCAAGGTATTTCAGTACATAAGTCAACTTTGCTAGGGTAACATAAAACGTATGTAAGCCAAAATTAAAGGTATGTCTCAAAATGATCTATCAAGTGATGATATGTAGTAGGTTAAATTGAGATAATATGCTGGTCCAAGAAGCACAAAGCAATCAGCAGTGAGAATTCCTGTTCAAAAACTACGCAGTGGACTTTTGAATTAGTATGCTTCCTACTAAATGAAAACCAGGACTTGTGCTAAGTAACCCTGGCTGGAGTACCCCACTTTAGACTTTGGCTTGGATGACAGTACTTACTAGAGCCATTACAATCGAGCACTGACAGCAGCACAGAGCCCACATCCCATAGGGTCACCCAGCACCCTTCCCCAATAGCCCTCTGTCTCACCCACATGCCATGTCCCAGTTATGAATGAGCACAGTGTTCCTTCCGGAAGACCTCTGCCATGCAGCCAAGTATACACATTTGTAGTATCATTTCAAAACTGAATATAAAGAAACAAAGATGACTTCTGTCCCTTTTGAAGGACTTGTTCCTCCACTTAAAGTCCCACTAACTCTCACTCTTCAGTGAGTGATGGTTTGAAAGATAATACATTTTTGAATCTTAGCCTTAAAGGTTTTATCTATTAAGATATTCATTTAGCTTTAAAGTTATACCTTCTGGGCGTGGTGGCTCACACCTGTAATCCTAGCACTCTGGGAGGCAGAGGTGAGAGGATTGCCTGAGCCCACGGGTTTGAGACCAGCCTGGACAACATGGCTAGACCTCATCGCTACAATAAATCAAATAATTAGCTGGGCGTGGTGGTGCATGCCTGTAGTTTCAGAAACTTGGAAGACTGAGGTGGAAGAATCACCTGAGCCCGGCAGGTCCAGGCTGCAGTGGCCGTGATCATGCCACTACACTCCAACCTGGGCGACAGAGTGAGACTCTGACTCAAAAAAAAAAAAGTTATACCTAATAAAATGTATCTTTCAAGTTTGAATTTGATTTGGAATAATGGAATGATGTATTTTAGCTCTGAGTTTGATGTCTGGCATACAATGTTTCATTAGATAGTGGTTGTTTTTATTATCCTCTGCTTTTCCACAGTGAACGAACATCACTGCTCAACGCACCTCACTTGTTTTAATTTGATCAGAACTGTCATTGTTGTAACTCAGCACCTGATATTGCCAAGCTTAACTTAAGTGAGGAGAGTTAACCACATTCCAAACCCCAGGCTGGAATAGAGATAAAAACAAGCTCTCCATGACTTAGAGTCTGAACGAAGAGGCAGATATGGATGCAAAGAAATCACTAACCAAGTGTGGCAGGAGCCACAGTCAACACTTGCTGGCCTCTGCAGCGCTGTCCTGGCTGGGAGGAGAGCATCGAGGGAGGGATTCCTCCTGGAAATGTTGAGCAAGTGCAAAGGCATGTGAACTACAAAGGCAGCCCTGGAAGACATGAGGCAGCCTGGAAAGGAGAATGGTAAGCAAAGGCTTCTAGGGGGATGTGAAACCTTGGTCCCAAAACCAGAGGGAGAAGGACATTTCAGAAGGCACGATGTCCTGGGACAGGGCACCAAGGAGTGTGTCTTGCCACGCATGCAGGTGCGGGGCGGGGCAGTGGAGGGAGGCAGCAGGGGAGGCCCTGTGAGGCTGTATTCCTCGGAGCCCATCAACGTGGTGTATAGGTGATGGGAGGCCAAGGGGCACATGACAGAGCCTGCACTGGGAAGCCGTGATGACAGCCTAGCACCCTTTGGTGCAGGTTCCCCTGCTATGGGACTTTCAGGAGTTATTAACATCCCTGAAGCTCCACAGTAATGGGGAACCTCGGGAGACTCTAAGCAAGGATGTCACACTCCCAGGCTCCGGGCCACAAGTGTCCCCCACTGCTGTTCTCTAGAAAACCCTCTCCAATCACAAGGTTTTCCCACAGTCCCAGCTCACCCTAAAAGCTGCAGAAAAGACCTGTTCTCTCCTTTTCTTTTCCACGAGAATATGTATCTTGCTAATATGCCTCCCAGGTCAAGTTAGCTAGGTGATACAGTGAATGTCCCATTAAAACTGAACCGCAGTACTAGTAGAAATCTGGGTTCCAACTCCAGCCATCACCCCTTAACCCTCCAAATGCATGGCCTCCAGCTCATCCTTACCCCATGCTCCAAGCACAAGGAACTCTTTCCTCGACTGCCAGGAATGCTCGCCCTGCAAACATCCCTCTCTCTCTCCAGATACCTGCCGAAATGTCACCTTATCCCAGAGAGTCCCCTCACTGCCCCTCCCAGCACCCCTAGTCTCCCTCCTGGGCTTGACAATTCCATCAATCCCATCCCCATCTGACTTACTGTGTTTCCACGTTTATTTGTTTGCTGTCTGTGTCCCTCACAAAAGGCGAGGCCCTCTATGAAGACAGAGGCCCTGCTCCAGGTCATGAAGAATTAGACACCGAGCCCCGCTGTTAGATCATTTTAGAAGCAATGCATTGTTTCCATGATCTCCAATATGGACGAAGACCATGTTTCATTGAAAATGGCTCTGTTAGCTGGGCTCGATGGCTCAGCCTGTAATCCCGCGCCTTTGGGAGGCTGAGATGAGTGGATTGCCTG